TAGTCCTCTGTTCCCGCTGCAGGTCTAACACGTGTGTGTGTTTGCAGTAAGACGGCTCTGTTGGAGGGTCTGGAGGTGGACCAGTACATGCTGGGAATCCTGATCTACGTGCAGAAGTGAGACCCTTTTGTTGTTCAGTGACTTCCTGTTTTGCTCGCCGCTCCGGCTGCTCTGAAATGAAAACTGATTCTTAAAACGTGTTTGCTTCAGCTCGGAGTACGAGGAGATCACCATCGACCCGGTGTGCAGCTGGAAGCCCGTCCCCGTGAAGCCCGACCTCCACGTGAAGGAGGAGCCCGACGGCCCCGTGCTGAAGCGTTGCCGGACGCTCAGCCCCAGTCACATGGTCATGCCCAACGTCATGGAGATGATCGCCTCGCTCGGCCCAACCCCTTCCTCCTCCTCGTCCTCCTCCACCTCGGCGGTTCCCCCCTCCTCTTCCTCCTCGTCCCCGATGCCCTACCCCTCCCTGCCCGGGGGCGGCGGCGGCGGCAACAGCAGCACGACGCCCGAGTACCCCGGACCCGGATCAGGTAGGATGCTCCACCTCACAGCGGCGAGTCGATCACTTCCTGTGCTGGTCACGTGTATTAATCCGCCTCTCTTCCTCAGCTCCGTCCTTCCCCACGCTGTCGGCTCCCTTCTCCGACTTCAGCGGTCCGGGGACGCCCAGCATCGGCGGCGACTTCTCCTCGCCCGGCCCCCCGCCCCTGTCCTACCAGTCGGAGCTCTCCAGCGCCCTCCTCACCCCTGACAAACCCCCCCCTCACCCGCTGGCTGGACAGGTACATGATCATCATCATCACTGCTTTGGATTTGTTCTGACAACAAACACAACCTCCTCCAAAAGTTGATTCTGTTCATCTGGACGTAGCGTTTTGTGTCTCCTTCCTTCCTTCCTTCCTTGTGCTCTGACTTGTTTCCTATCACTGTTTTCCTCTTATCTCCTTTCCTTTCTTCCATACTTCCTTCCACCCTCCTTAAATCTTTCCTTTCTCATCTCCTTTTTCCTTCCCTCCTCTCCCCTCTCTTTACTCTCGTCTTCTTCCTTCCTCTCTTTCTTCCTCCTTTCCTTCCCCCCTTGTGTCCTTCCCTATCAGATGCCGGGCTCAGGCCGTATGGACTCAACTTCCCATGGTGCTCCTCTCCAGCAGCACCAGCAGCAGTTGCAGGGTCTCCATGGCAACTCGCAAATGGGGGGTGGCAACCAGATGATGCAGCGTAGCAGCCAGAATCCCCGTCTCCAAGGTGACGGCTCCTTTGGACTCGGGGGCTCGGCGGATGTTCCGGAAACTTCTCTTGACGTGAGTAGAAACAGACTCTACTGAGCTTCTAATGTGAGTAAAGAACAAGAATGTGCTGGACAAAGGTGTTGTGATAAATGTCGTCGTCACAGCGATGAACAACACGACTTTAATAAATAAACGTTGTGATAAAACCAGAATAACGTCGGTCAAACGAGCGTCACGCAGTAACCGCTGTGTGAACTGAAGCGTGGGCGGGCCGGCGCCGAGTCTAACGCTGGTTGTCCTCGTTGCTCCTGCAGTTGCTTCCTGAGTTGACCAACCCAGACGAGTTGCTGTCCTACCTCGGCCCTCCGGACCTGCCGAGCAACAACAACGACGACCTGCTGTCGCTGTTTGAGAACAACTGAAGCGCTCGCACGGCTCCGGGGTCGGCCACGCCGAGATGTCACGGCAACATCCGAACTTTATTTTTTATCCTCGGCGCCAACATGGCACCGTCTGCACAGGAAGGGGCGGACCGTGAGGAGGAAGGAAAACAAAATGGCGACTTTTGAATCTAAAAAATCTCTTTGATGTGTGATTATGATCTCCATGGTAACTTTATTTTATTGTTTTTAATTGTGTTTCGATGCTTCATCCTTCATTCCTTGTCAGTTCAAAGAGGCGCCACAGCGCTGCTTTCACGTACCTGCCCCGCCCACAGCGATGTCACCCAGTCGTTCTTCGTGTAACAGCACAACACTGACATCTGATTGGCTGTCGGTGTTTTGGCTCAGCCCGTGATTCAGGTGATTCCAGTGCGGCGGCGTGCAGTACACAAAGGTGCGGCTGGCGTCGTTTGCGGTTCCAGTTGGTGGGTGTGGGTGTGAAAGCCGTGAAGGCAGCACTGTGGCGCGTCACAGCTGGGAGTTTCGGTGCAAAGATGGCTGCAGACGAGCTGTAAGCGGCGTCTTTTCCCACGGACACGCTTTCCCTTCTCACTGGAGATGCTGAGGGGTCCACGCCCGGCCCCGGCGTGCGACACGGACCTCCCAATGACCAATCAGAGAGAGGCGACACGGGCGGCTGTAGCTGCTCAGCCTCCTCCCCTCATGTTATGAGGGTTTTTTGTAAGCGGGCTGGTTGACCTTTGACCTGGCCGCGGTCTGCACATGTAGCTTACTCACATCTGGGCTGAAGCTGCAGTGACAAACGCTGGTTCATCTTCATCATCCTGTGTTGTTGTATAGTGACTTAGAGTCCAACAGTTGTGGTGTCTCCATGGAAACCTGTACACGATGATTCAGTAACGATGCTCATAACATAAAGTTTGTAATTTAATAAACAGACACTGGAAAGACACGCAGAGGCTGCGGCGCTTTCATCACGGCGAAGAGCCCGAGGTCTTCATCGGGCATCGACGTCCACACCGCTCATTACTCGCACTGAAACGAGTCCCCGTGAATAAAACGGGAAACGTCACAGATTTAATGTGACAGTAAGAAACAGGCTGGTGTTTGATCGACGACACGTTCGGTCAGAGAAACGTTCAAAACGGCATCTCCTTAAATTTGCACATTTCTGAATGAAGTCTGGCACGTTTTTCTCACAGGTTAGATTTTGGTGCTGAGGACATGAATCGCAAAGTAGATTCCACATCCACTTTATTCCGTTTAACATTCAAACCTCTGTGTTCAGTAAACTGTAATCTGGAATATTGTCGATATTATGTTATGAATTAAATCAAGACTAATGGAAAGAAAGACGATCTAAAAATCAAACTTTGAATGGAGTCTGGTGTTGGTGGGTGCACCTGCTTTAGCCTCCAACAATTCAGTTTTATAATAAATCATCTTCACGGTTGGTTCAAAAGCAGAATTAATCCAGTCAGGATCATGTTCTGAAATCTGGTTGTTCAAAGGTTTTTTTTAGTCCTAGACTATGGATTAGTAAGGATTAACCAATCCCAGGGCTAGAGACTGGATTACACAGGAAAAGTAATAATAGCCAAAAAACTAGAGGTGATAAACAGTGAAGAGAATGACACACTGCACCTTTAATATCATGACCTGAGGAAGGTAAACATGGCTGTGGATAAAAGGATGAATTCTCTGATAATGGAACAGCCGTTACTATCAAACTTAGTTTCACTGATTCAGTGACGCTTCATTGATATTGTGAGTTTTGGCGCCCCCTGCAGCCCAGTGAGAGTACTGGAAACCTTTAAAAACTGGGTTACCCAAACGGGATGGTTTGTATCCAGATTACATCTTTTAAACAGCCGAGCCCAGGATTGAATCCAGATATGTGAGTTTTTAATTCCCTGATGAAGGACGTGAGCGCAGGAAAAACATTCTGGGAACAAAATCGAGCAGGTGAAGATTTATAAGATTTCATATCAGTTAATGAAACACGATCAGCTTATGTGTAGTGAACAGGAAGTCCAGTGCACTGTAAGACATAGCACATGCACACCTTGATTTGTTGTGAGGCTGCGTGGAGGGCGCTGAGGTTTCTGCAGGTTTTACTGCGACGGCTGGACACGGAGCACATTTACAGCACTGCGTCTTTGTTCCCTCTCTCACAGACGGCTTTCTTAGTTGAACTGATTCCTCGAGGCCTCTCCTGGTATTCACTGCTCCGTTATTTTAAGAAAAGCTGACCTTAAGGTTTTAAGCAGGAAGCCTCTCTCTCTCAGCACCTATGTGATGAAAGGTCATTAAAGGTCACTGATCGATAGCTCGCTGAACAGCAGCTCTGCGGCATCGACACTGAACGATTTTCCCCGTTAAGCCTCTTAACTCTGACCTATGAATCATTCATGCAGCACAAAGGCTCCTGACTGGACGAGGAGCCGGTGTTGTGTGCACACAGACACCTGAGCGCACTTTACGCTGCCTGTCACTCAAACACACCTGTTCCCATTTCTTTAGCTGAATCTGAAAACCGATAACAGTTTAACATAAAATAATGTTTATGTACCAGTGAGTCCCAAAGAGCTGTGAGCTGAAAACTTTGTTGATCTGGGAAGAACAATTGTGAGGCCTAAAAGTGTATCTGTAGCATCTGATAGTCAC